TATATATATATATATATATATATTATCTTTTGTATAATATTATCAGGTTCACAATTTAATGAGCTAAAAATAGATTTTTGTAGATAACAAAGAATTTATTAAATTAGAAGTTAGAACCACAATAATCATGAAGACAAGAATTAAGAACATTTTTCCCTTGAGAAAATGATTAAAAAAAGTATCTTTCATTTGGTCTAACTTTGGCAAGAAACTATTCCAGCTGCACACAATGGATAAGCAAAGAACCTTATAAAAAGTTTTAATTTTCATTTTTTTTATTTCTCCTTAAATATTGCAGATTGTCCTTTCTTTTGCAAAGGAATCTATTTCATTATCGTGAAGTACTATTTTTTTTTAATATGTTAATATTCTAATTAATATCAATATCTTTCTTTAGTACAATAATAATGAAATATGAGCCTATAACCTTATTCGACCCATTTAAACTTTTTGTTACTAGGTCCAATTTAATGAATTAGATCTGGTATTTTGGACTTTTGATTTTTATTACTCCCTATGGTCTTTTTATAATAAGAAAAAAGTTATAGTTAGAAATTCATTATTATCTATTTTTTATCAAAAGGATTGAAGATAGTACATTAGACATGTTCATAACCAATGGTAGATCCAAAACTCTGAGTAAATGGAGACAATTTTCTTATAAAGTAAAAATTAATATTAATATATTATATTTGTAAAGTATATATGCAATAACCCCAAGCGTGTGGTTCAGCGGTAGGGGTTGATCCACGCTTAAGCAAGGTCAGGGGTTCGAATCCTGCCTTGTGTATGCAGCCGCGTTAAATCTTGGGACCAGCTATCCCACCCTTTGAGGTGCCTCCAACGTACGCCTATCGGCGGTGGATACTCGAGGAATGAACAAAAAAAAAAAATATATATATATGCAAAGAATTGTATGATTTAATAGTCAAATTAACTTTCTACGCTCTCTAAACCGTGGCTTGATCCACGCCAAGAACTATTTTATAACATTTTAATAAAAAAAATTACTTTAATAACTAACCAAGAAAATCATTATATAATATTAGAAACTACAAAATACTGAATTTTTATATATAATAATAATTTAATTAAAGTGAGAGTGGTGCATTTACTCATCCTTACTTACATGTGGACATGTCCACCTGTTATAAACACCTATAAATAAATGTTTACATTTTACAATATTTGTACACAATATACTAATCTTATCTATGACTATTGTTTCCTTAAGACCTATATCAAATGTCAGCACCAACCCTGATCATAGATGAGAAACTCCATGCATGTTAGATCCTTGGTCGATTTTGAATTATATTAGTGATCCAAAATATCTAAGAAAGTTTACCAATTTCCTATTACAAGCAACAACATCATGCTACAAAGAGAGTAAAAGCAACCTACACTACATATAATTCATAGACTGTACTTAGAGTAAATACAAGAGCAAATGTAAACAAAGTACTGAAATATCACTATCTATTCGCTCCAACGACACAAGGTCATCTCACTCAAGCTGCTGTGTCACTTTAGAATTATTTCTCACAACTTTACCAAGTTACTCAAACTGTTATCACCAGAATTATCCCACACACCAGTCATAACAAACAATACCATTAACTGCAAAGATAGTAACACGCACCAGACTTTTACTTATAGATTATGAACCTATTTAGATACAAGTTTAGAAGAGTTTTTAATAGTTTTTTTACTAGAAAAAACTTTTTACTTTCAGTTAAGTTCTCAGAAGTGCTTCTGAGTTATATCTAAATAGATTCTATATATTTAAATTAAATACAGGAACAGCCATACAACAAAGTACTCAAATATCACAAGTTACTCACTCAAAGACACAAGGTCAAGTCAACTCACTCAAGCTGCAACTTTAGTGCTATATACTAATATGAGGAATATAGTCTCATGATATACACGACCAAACTCTTACTAATCTATTGTTGAGGAATGGCAAAGAAGATCCAGGGATTTTACGGCGTCATAAGTTTATTCCTGAGTTCATTTCTCTTCTGATCAACACATCCTGTGCTGGTCAAAGAGGTTATCCAGATATCATCAGATTTGACTGGCTCATCATCGTCATTCCTGTGCCAACTCCAGAAAGCATGCGAAGAGTTTATAATCTTTAGCTCACCATGACCAAAACTGGCTTCGCGGAATTCTGACCATATTGGCTGTGGATTTATATACCTGACAACAAACAATCATAATGGTAAAAGAATCGTATAAGAGAAAATAGTAGTTGCATGCATGTTGAAAAATTTTGAGTTTGAAAACAGCCTCAATATAACCTTTTTGGGATAACAATTAACAAATGGTTGAGAAATCATATTTATTAAGAATGTTTATGGCTGAATGAAACTTACCTAGCAGCTAAGCCTTCTTTGTTTCCTCCATCACCAATGGTTATATGGACTGAACCACAAGGATCAAGTCTTCCATTGTATACACGTTTCTGTCAATCAAACAAATTAAGATCCTAAAGCAATTAAAGAATACTTGGAGTTTGTTTGGCTAAATTTTCCAGTAACACTTCTAGAAGAGAAAAATAGGAATAAAAAAATTAAATAAAATATTTTTTTATAAGCTAAAACTAGTTTATTCATAAGTTAAAAATAAGATTTTAGAAAAGTTAATAAGAGAAAATTTCTACAAATTAGTTTATGGTTATGCTAATTTTAACTTTTGAAAAAACTTATTTAATTTTTCTTTCATATTTTTTTTCTCCTAACTAGAAGTATTTTTAGAGAAGTTTACTCAAACAAACTCTTAAAAGAAGCGGAACTCTAAACCACAGGCATACCGAGCGTTCATAAGCATGCACATGACCAGCAAGAACTAAATCAACACTAGCTGCATAAAGCAATGGCTCCATAGCTGTCATCATATCAGCCCCTTCACCTTGATGAGCTGTGTTACTATTATACCATGGAACATGAAATAACACGAGCAACCAAGGTGTCCTTTTCCTATCCACCTTTGACAAATCTGCCTGCAGATCACAGACAAGAACATTAGCCACACACACATAAAAGCATTTATCCTAGAAAGGTTAAGATTCAAGTGAAAATGCAAAATGTCATGTATATATATTCATGCCTTCCAGGTTAAGAACTTAAACTTGAATGTAGATATTGAAATTATTATAACAGCAATGTTAAAAGAATATTAGCAGAACACCCACAATAACTTGATTTTCTCTCTTTCCTTCTCGTCATACGTATATTGAAATGTGTAACTACGTATAATGGAGGGCATTCAGCTTTACATTACTTAGGATCTCCGATATCTTTACTAAAGACTTGATTCCAGGGCTGTATTTATGAAGGCTTCATATTTTTATGTAGGTGGTTCGCCCAAGCCATATGCAAATACAATGCATGCATTTGTCACCAAGGATTTTGCACGTCAGTTTGTGCTATTAAGCATTAAGTGTATGTGTATGTGTAAGAAGTAAAAACCAAATCAACCACGGAAGAAGCTATTGTGATTTTTAATTTCATCATAATTCTAAATGTTTGTTCCATTGATAGATTCCAAGGAAACTAGATGGAAGAAATAAGGATGCTAGCTAGACGTTGCTTTTTAAATGAATAGAGTCATTGCAAGTTTGCAACTAATGACAAGACACAACAACTAAGCCTTGTGGCTATTAATCTCAGTAGATGGAATTAGCTATGTCTAAAACAAAACAAATGAAGAACAATGGAAACAAGGACATTGTGATAGTTGAAAATTAAAATAACATATACGAAGGTATGAAGAATGCAAGATAGACACTTGATGCTTTTGTTTTAGGAAAACTTCCGTTGGCAGGTATAATCAGAGTTGTTTGTAACCAATAGCAATCTCTGCATATCAAGTAAAATAGAATTTCCGATGCAAGACATATCCACGACATATTCTCTTTGAAAAAACACATGAAAGCTAACATACTTTAAAATCTCAAATTTAGCATGGATCCTTCCACGTGGCCATTATGAATTATGTGTAAAATATACTGTCCAAGACTGCCACACAGATCAAACTTAATTTTCCCCTATGAATGTGTACATGCTATTCCTAACAGTGCAAGTCAATATGTGCTTCTAACCATTACCCAGAATGGTTTTAATAAAGTGTAGACTAAAACCAAAAATTGAAAAATGAAACTAAGGCAGAGGAGGTTTTGTCTTCTATATTTAGTCTCAACAAGTAATTACTACTTATAGGTGACAATAGATCTAATAACACTTTTCTAAATATAGATATAGAGCCTGTTTGAATAGAAGTTCAAAAGTGTTTTTGAGAGCTTATCTCTGAAAAAAATCTTTTTATTTTTGGTAAAGAAACTGTCAAAAGCTTTTCTAAACTTGTAATTAAATAGGCTCAGAGTAACAAACTCATAACCAATTGGAGCAATCAACTAACCTTTAGCCATCTATATTGTTCAGAGTACTCATCATAATCTGCATAGGACCCGAGCATGATAATGTGAACACCAGCAACTTCAAATGAATAATAGAGATTTGAACTTGATCCACTTTCCTCAAATGGCATTTTCCACCTGGAATTGTAGGACACAAACCCATCCTTTAACAAAGGAATGCTCTCAACTTCATGGTTCCCTTGTGTTACCATCCATGGCCTTGCACTTGCAAGTGGCTGCACTAGTCTTCCAAATGAGTCCCAACGATGCTGGATATAATCAGCATATGAAAGGTCTCCTGGAAGCAGGTGAACATTGTACTTACATTGGTCAATGTGATCCAATGTTGATTTAGTCCACCCAGTTTGACCCAAATCCCCAGCCACAGCAAAAGTGATTGGAAATTGTGCTGGAGGAGTTTTGAGTTGGAACTCAGGACCTTGTCCACCACATCGGTAATAGTACACAGAATTATGCTCTAAAGGCCCAATCACTGTGTGGTGTATCATTCCTGAGCTATAGAACAGATAACTGTAAGATTTGGTTTCTCCTTCAGCTACAGAATGATATTGCCCTGGAAGTGTTCCATATTCTACAATTGAAGGTGCAGATTTATCATCAGTGATCCAGGTAACTCTCATGTGCTGGTCTCCTGCTAAAGAAATGCGTACCTGGAATATACACATTGCTGATAAGAGTCCAAATCATCTGATACTAATTGGGTACCACAAAGTAATATTAACATACTTAAATTGTTGATATCATAATATAATTGCTTAAGCAAAGAGTCATGGTTCACACTTCACAGGTAATTGGTCAAGATTTGGCAAATAATTCTCCAAAGTGAAGGAGGCTGTTTCAGTTCAAATAACTGAAATAAGAGAAATTTAACGGTTTGTTTGAGTAAGTTTCTTCAGAAGTACTTCTAGAAGAAAAAAATAGGAAAACAAATTGAAATAAGTTTCTCTATAAGCTAAAACTAACTTATGTACAAATTAAAAAAAAGATTTTGTGAAGCTAATTGGAACTTTTACAAATTAACTTATACTTAAGTTAATTTTAGCTTATGGAAGACCTTATTCAATTTTTTCTTCTTATTTATTTCTCCTAGAAGTGTTTATGGAGAAGTTTACCCAAAGATATCCAAAATGAAAGTTTTTGTCTGTGTACAAGCTTTACGGCAAACCAACAATCATTACAAATAGATATCATTTCAAGATTCCTCGCCACTCACCAGACATCAGAAAAAGCATTATAATCCCAAAATTCTAAGGGACAGAAAAACACTTGACGACTGGGATTGATTACCATCCACATTGAAGTGCCAACCTCTTAAAGAAATTTTCATGATGATCAAGAACAAACGAACATAAATATGACTACAATTACAGAATGCTGCTAATCAACTAGTCTAACGCCACATTTCAAAACCAAATAGTCCAAATCAAATTAGTGTGGCTTCACTGAATTTCACAACTCTCCATAAATCACTATTTCTATTACCCAAAATCCATAATGGAAAAAGAATATCAGAGAAAACATCACGGTAGCAGGGCTCAGAAACCAAATAAGAACAAAGAATTGCACTTCATTGGAGGGCAATCCTTAGAGCTATGTCCAAATCCAAATTATAAGATGGTTTTAAAGTCTATCATAATGGTTATTATTTGGCGTACCGACATGGTTGTTGGTGAATCTACCAACCACATGCAATATCTCTAGTCCAGTAAATTTCATATTAAAAAACATACTAAATTAATACATGTCAGAAACACAAACACTTCCCCCCCCCCTTTTTTTTTGTTTAAATAAACTAAGAACCCAGATTCAGAACCAAAAAAGCATAACAAAATAAAATAGAAATAGAAATAAAAATGGATAAGTGTGACATTGATCATCTAATAAGCAAAAGGGTATAGCAAAAAAGTGATTTTTATGCAGAATAAGATACGATGATAATGAGATGAAGAGTGGAAACACCTGCTGAGGGAAAG